GTGTGGGACTTCTGTGTGCGTCTGTGTGGGTATGGTGCAGGTGGGGTGTGTTTGGGGTACATACATGGATTTATGGTTGGGGTGTGGGGTGTGTGGGACTTGGATGTGTGTGGGGATGATGAGGGGATGGGGGTATGCGTGCATGTGTGGGGAGGTGTAGGGGTGTGCATGCAGGGTGTGGGTATATGTGTGGAATGTGTGTAGGGGAGTGGGGGGTGTATCGGGGTGTGGGTATGGTGAGGGTCAGGGTGTGGGTGTATGTGTGGGATGTGTATGGTAGGGTGTGTGGGACAGCATTGGGTGTGGGTGTGGGTATAGAGGGCAGCGGGGTGTATGAGGGGGTGTGAGTGCGTGTGTGAGGTGTGGGTGGGTTGGGTGTGCATGTGTGGGGGCTTCCCTCCTGCCTGCTCTTTGCGATGTGGCTGAGCCTAGCCCCTCCACAGGTGGGGGAAGGGGATCAGCACTGACTGCCTGGCTTGCAGCAGCGCTTCAAAGGGCAGGAAAGCAGCTGCTGCTGCCAGCAGCAAGAGAAGCCCCTGTGAGAGGGGAGGGTTTCAGGGAGCTGAGCCTGGTATCACCTGCTCTCTTAGTCTCTATCCCAAACTTGCATGGCAGGGCTGCAGCCGAGCCTGCGCTGGCTTCTGCTGCTGTTACTTCTCTCACCTGCTTGCTTGGCAGGGCTGCATCAAGTGCATGCTGGCTCCTGCTGCTGTTCCTCCCCTCCTGTCTGTCCCTGCCTATGTGGCAGGGCTTTGTGAGCAGTCAAGCTCCTTCATGCCTCCTCCCACACGCTCATCTGCCCAGCACAAGCAGGACCAGAGTGAGCTGCAGGCCAAGCCCATCCTATTCCCCTCAGTGCTGCAGCTTCCACTCCCTGCCTGCTGGCTGGAGCACTGTAGCAGGGACAGGAGAAATTGCTGGAGGCTGAGGGAACCCAGCACTTCCCTAGGCAGTGGCAGCAGCAGGAGCCCTGCTCAGAAGCTGTGCCTGCTGGTGGGGGAGGATGGGAGCACAGCGTGCTCTGCTTCCAGCAGGACTCGGCCCCAGGCAGAGTGCAGCCAGATATAATTAATTAGTGGGAGCCTGCCTGCGGGCCAGATCCAATCAGCTGGTGGGCTAGACCAGGCTTCTGTGCCATATTTTGCCCACCGGTGAGCTAAAGAGCAGATGGAAATGGAGCATGCTGAAAGGAGAATTAACCAGTTTGAGTGAACTTACTAAGTGAAGAGTGAAGAAATAAAGTTCATCAAGGATCAGTTGTGGGACTACTCTTCCTTTAGTATTTTCATGTAATGACCCAGCACAAAAGGTCTGCTAAGAAGATTTATGGATAAAGTACAGTTGGAAGACCTCACCAATATGGATGGTGATCAGACTATCTGTAACTGTGTTTATGGCCATCCTGTCCCTGGAGCCCCGTCAGCCCGTGTCAACCTGCTCTCTCTTTAGGTAATCTCGCCTGTTCTTGCCTGCCGTACCTTAATGTCATTATCTTGTAGTAAAGAGTGGCTGCCCCGGGGCTACCTAAGCCTGATCTCAACACTCCTGAGCTCAGGTGTCTCTACTCTCTGCCTTACAGACTAATTATGTGGGCTCCGTCTTCCCCAGTACCTACGTCAATGCCTCGGATGATTCTCATTTTCTCTCCCTTGTTCCCTCAGGCTACAGCCTCCTGGGCTCTGCTGACAGGTACCACTTCTGGACTTCAGGGTCCCAGCTCCAGTCCTTGCCCCTCCTGAGTTATGGGCTCCCTGGCCCTGCTGACACTTGCCCCTCCTGGATTCAACTCTCCCTCTGGGCACCAAGCCCTCTACCATCTGTTCCCAGGCCTCTTTACTCTCAGGCCTGTTGGGATCTCCCCCTCCCCTTAGTCCCTTCTTTATGTCTAAAGATTTGCTTACCCCAGCTTGGATGCTACCCAAAAGTCCTGCTGCAGCTCTGCTTCCCAGGAGCAACTGTCTCCATGGCTCTCAGCTAAACTGCCTCACTAGCTTGGGTGTACTTCAAGCCCAGCTCCCTTCTGGTCAGGTGGATCTCTCATTAGTTCCTGCCACACCTGTGGGATGCTTCTCATGCTGCTTGCTTTCTCTAAATAGCAGGAGCATCAAGCCTTATGCTATAACATCATAGGAATAAGTGGATGGTCTTGTGGACTAGGGTAATTAAAGTGGGATGAAAGGTCATAGTACAAAACACAGGGTCGTGCACAGGAGGCCTAATAGGAAGAGAATACGAAGTCTTGCTCGTCAGTTGGAAATGACAGGAGGAAGGCTGAGGTGTGTTAGTTTATCATAAAATTACTACGAGCCCCCAATGTAATGTGGCTGTGGGGAATAAAAAAAATGCAATTCTAGCATGTAATAGATGAGGGATTTCTAGTAGAGAGGGGCATGCCAAAGCCATTCTGCAAGGCATCGGCAAGATGTCATGTGGAATATTGAATGAGGTCCTGCTTGCCTATGTTCCAGAACTGAAACGATTTAAAGATGGAAAGAGAGCAGATGGGGGTGGTTACCAAGATGACTGGGAAAATTGAGTCTGTCTTCCAAGAGGGAGCTAAAAAAATTTGACTTGTTTAGGTGAACACAAGAAGTCTCAAAGAGAAATACAATTACAGTTTCTGAATACATCAAGGAGTGTGCTGTGGAGAGAAGAGCTATTTAGAATAAATGACAATGGATACAGGTGAACAAATGGATATAAACTTGCTATGAATAAATTTAAGGTTGAAATTTAGAACATTTGTACACATTGGAAGGGCAAGGTTTTGAAACGGCCTTCCCATAAGTGTCATAGGGACAAAGAACCCAAGATGTACCTTGATTGGCTTAAAAGATAAACTTGTGACACAGTTGTAGAAAACTGGACTCGATGGTAGCTCAGAAGATCCCTTCTAATTCTGTGTTGCATGTTCCTGTGGTTTGGATAGCTTAGTTATCCTGGCTTTTGGTTACTTTTTTGTTTTGTGTTTTTTTGTTTTTTGCAGCTGATCAGCTATTTTACTTTTGCACTCTTATGGTCTGTTCCAGAGAAGGAAGGGCTATATAATCTAACTAACTGCTGTGAGGAATCATACATGTTTAGTAGAAAAGATCTATTTAAAGCAAAACACTGATGTTTATCTGTGCTGTCATGCATTGAAGTACTATAGTAACAATCATCATAGTAACAAAAAAGAAATGTTTTCATCATGAGGGTACTAAAGTATCAGAGACAGTGCATGGCTTGGATCTAAGCAGTTTAATAAACTGCATATAATTGAAGTAGATTTATAATTTGGTAGTTACAAGTTTTTACAGATAAAAATTACAGATGTGAATTGTTAGTTTAAAATCCTGTTAGAGACAACTCTATCACTGCTGAATAGTGACACTAACCTTTCAGTTGTGTAACTTTGTCATGTTCACTTTTAAACTTGGAGCCTTACACATAATTAGAAAAGAAAGGAAAGCAAAATTTCTGGGTCTGATTCTGAATTGAATTCATTATTCACAACTCCATTTAGCAATTTCTGCAAGTTCACACCTATATTTTGGTTGTTATTAAATTAGATTGGAAAACCTAACAAATCACATTTGGAACTTTAGAAAATCTAGAAATCTAGAAAATATAATTCATTTCCCTCTGGGATTAAGGTTTATCTATAACTGCTCACATAGACAAAAACTTAAAACAAAAGTTTGTGTGTGATTTTTTTTTTTCTCTTCGTAGAGAATAAACTACATTTTCTGGAGCAGAGAACATAAGTATATGTAAATTAGCAAAAGATAACGAAGTCTCACTTATTGACTTCCCAGTTGTGTCCTATTTAGCTTTTAAAGGTTTGGGCTATTTTGAAATGAGAGAGAAAAAGATGAGGTATTGGATACTCTACTGGCTCACAAAATTATTAATATGAGATCTAGGAACTGCAGTTATGGACTGGGACTGCTAAGAGCTGTTCAGCAATAAGGTATAAAGTAATATTTTGCTTGCAATTAATCACTTCAGCTAATTCTAGAGTAGTAGATTTGTTGACCTTAACTTTGGAGCCTTATCCTACAGGTTTCTTATTACTACTGTGAAGTGCCGGGTACCTACAATTGCCACTGACAGTGGAAAGTGGTTTGTCCCTTACCATGATCAGGCCCTTGGATAAAATATTATTCAGAACTCCTTTAAAAGGCACTTTTGATTCTGGTTGTAGTAGTTATAGGCAATGCTCAGTGCGAATCAGGTTTTGTGAAAGGGAAAATGTCGTAATTCCATGATTTTAAATAAACCATGTAAAAGATTTATATAATGGTGATCAAGTTTTTTTGTTTAATTTTCTTTCATGTTTTTAGAAAGACAGGTAAATTTGTCCTTAAACCTATCTCGTTTTGCTTTAATCGGAATTAATTATTTTTTCTTAAGTTGACAAGGTTGGTGGGGGGAGGAGTAGGAAAGATGGAAATGACCAAATCCCCCTTCCCCCCCATGGGGAAAATTTCAGTAGTTAAATACAGATGGGGAGAATAGGATTTTTAAGGTGATTTGAGCATAGCTAAATGTCAGTGTAAAAAGTGTCGGAACACAACCTAGTGTGTTTAAGAAAAAATACTTGTAACTAATTCATATCAAAAGCTGCTGAAGTGTGTGTACAGGGGTTCTTGATCATATTTTTTTTTCTTTTCTTGAATAGGGATTGCAGCATCTTTTGCAGTAAAGCTTTTTAAAGCATGGATGGCAGAGAAAGATGCCAATTCAGTTACCTCTGCTTTAAGAAAAGCCAACCTTGACAAGAGATTGCTCGTAAGTGCCATATGTTTTCTGTTAGTTTCTGTTGTTTGCTTATGGAAAAGGAGAGATAATGTATGTGCTAGCTTGTCAAATGTATGTTACCACCCACTCATACTTATTTTTTTAAAATATTTTGAATCATGGCAATGTTAAAGCTATTCTACCTGTACCAGAGCTAGCCTATCGAATGCCATTAACTTTTACTTTATTGACCATAACTTTTATTTCCTCAGACATTCTAGCAGTCTGAGGAATTTGGTTTCAGAGCCTCTAGGATAAACTGACTTTATTGTCCTCTACTAATAGTGATTGACTAACTAACCAGTCACAGTGCATTTGGTGCGTTCACTTCCTTTATTGAGATAAGTGGGTAGTTTCCTGAACTTGAGTGAAGATAGAGTAGTTTGTGTACTCGCTGCATTTCTGAAAACGAATTACAGCTCTGCAATGTCACACATTCTATTTTAATTTGTGTAGAACTTATTAAAATAACAAATGAGCCTTTTGGTAGGATAAATGGACCTATAATACTGATTGCAGATCCACTAGGGATAATGTGTTTTAAGGTTGGCCTTGTGGTTCAAGCCTGTATTCTGGGTTCCTAGCAATATTCTGAAGCATTCGTTCAGCAAGGTGGGCCCATGGGATGGAATAGTAGATTGCATTTCATCTAATGCTCCTGGTTTCTTGCGTTTTCCCAAAGACTTCATTGGATTTATAAGCTGTAAAGCTATAAGGCCCGCTGTAATCATCTACTCTGACTTCCTGTGTAGTAGTAGCCAGAAATTTTCACCTAGTAACTTGTGTTTTTAGCCAAGTAGTGTGAGGTTAAATTAGAATGCATCTTCCTAAATGGACATCTGGCTTTGATTTAAGGAGTCCAAGTGAAAAATAATTTACCACATCCCTGGGCAATCTGTTTGAGTTAATTGTCCTCACTGTTAAAATGTGTCTTAATGCCAGTTGAATTTTGTTGATTTTTTTTTTTAGCTGTTGGATCTTGCACTCTTATTTGCTAAATTAAAGAGCCTTATAGTACTGGGTCATCTCTCCCAGTATGCATACTAACAGTCCATGTCCAGTCTCCTCTTAACCTTCTCTTCAAGTAATAGCTTAAGCTGTTTCATTGTCCTTGTTAGGCCTGTCATCCAGACCATGAATCACAGTTTTAGACAGAAATAGGGAATTAAAGTGTATCAGTTCATTTGGTCCTTTCCAGTCTGAGGTGTTAGTTGTAGTAACCTTTCTGCACCGCCCCCCCATGAGGCTTTTCTGTGAATTAACTATTACAATTGGTTTACCTTTTTGGATGAGTCTTGTTCTAAGCTTGTGCTAAATAACTTTGTGCATTTATTTAGTATTCAGAAATAAGCCTTCATGCAGTATATGGTAAGTAAATTCTTTCAAAATGTAAATATGAAGAAATGCTTTAAGGTCTTTTAACTGATATTTGCACGATGCCTTTACTGTCTGTACATTTGTACCAACTCTACAAGAACAAAGAAAGAAAGATGTTTCTTTTTCCATCTGTGTAAGGCTACTGGAGAATTTTGTTTTGAAATGCTTGAAGATGAAAGCATTTTCATTTATTTAACAATATTTACGTGTTTAACAGTAATTAACTGATCCTTTTTTCTTTTCTTCAAAAAAAAAAATGAACAAGTTTTCCCCCCCTTGTGTTCAATGATCTCTAAACACAGGCCAATATAGCATTTTAGTATGGAATTTTCAGAGTTAATGTAAATGTTGATTTTCTTTGAAGCATGTTACCAGTAATATTATTTCACCTTCAAGTTGAGTCCTTAGTGTGCATTTTCAGCCAGTTCTGCCCCTCTCTTTTGCCATTTAAACATACTTGATTATTTACTTAACAGATACCCTCTGTCTTCTAGGAACTATTTCCAGCCAACCGGCAGACTGTGGAACACTTTGCCAAGTACTTCACTGATGCAGGTCTAAAAGAGCTCTCGGACTTCCTTAGAGTCCAGCAGTCACTAGGAACTCGTAAAGAGCTTCAAAAAGAGCTACAAGAACGTCTCTCTCAGGAATGCCCAATTAAAGAGGTGGAGAGGTTTTTTCCAACTTTTTCTTGCATGTTCATGCTATTGCTTTTGTATTCAGGCTTAAATGAACAGTTACTATAGCAAAATATATTTACATCAGTAGGATTTTCTAGTGTTCTCAGTATTATCTTCAATCTGCATCCCCCTCTCCCCAAAATATGGTTTTGTCCTGTGTTGTAAAGAACTGTTAAAATTGCTTTAGTTTCCCTTATTAAAGACTTTAAAAATGAATGTGTAGTATGTGTTACTATAAAGAAATTGAGAAGCATTCTGTATCTGATTGCAGTTAATTATACTTTAGTGCTCCAGTATAAATTCCATTTCGTTTAGGATCTGTACATTGTATACTTAGATAGGAACTGCTCCATTTCTTTGTAACCAAATGACACGGCTAAAACAGCATCTGACAAATCTTCCTTTTGCAATGTTTCTGGTTTTTTTGTTTCTTGTTGCTTTGTCTGTACATCATTGCAATACTAGTAAAGCACTGCAAAATGCTTTTTCATCAGAATGGTTTCTAGGTGATTGGAAATGTTGTGGGAGACAGCATTTTCTTTCTCCTCCAGGTAGTGCTTTACGTGAAAGAGGAAATGAAGAGAAATGATCTGCCAGAGCCTGCAGTGATTGGACTCCTGTGGACCTGTATAATGAATGCTGTTGAATGGAACAAGAAAGAAGAACTTGTTGCTGAACAAGCACTTAAACATCTAAAGGTATGTTTGCAGGGAGAAAAGAGGGTTAAGTATAACGTGTATGTATTTGACAGATATCAGACTTTTTCATGTTTAAGTCTATATTAATGATTCTCAACCATGGTGCTGTGGCACCCTGGGATGTTTGAGATCCTTTAAGGGTGCCTCAAGGTGCCACACAATGTTAGCACTGTTAGGTGTACATACATGATTCACAAGATGAACACGGGTATTTTGAACAGGAATCCACGTTGTTAAAAATATTCCAACCTGATATGGTCATTCTGAATGCTTTGTGATGGAAGAATTGCTCTATTACTTTTTCATAGTCAAAAAATGAGTGAAAAATAAGAGCTGGCATTTTTCAGAGAGTGCCTTGAGTCTAGCTGGTGGGACCGGTGTACTTTGAGTCTAAAAAGGCTGAGAAGGACTGATCTGGAAGAATTTGTCTGAATGTGACACTGTATAACATCCTAGACCATCTTCCATGCATGAAGAATGTTGTCCTGTACTACCCATATGGTGACAAAATAATGTATTTATGCTAAAATAGTGCAATATCAATGAATGTTAGGTCACTTCAAAAGATTACAAGAAACCTATGCTGAAATAAAAAGTATATAGGAGATTTAAAAACAAAACAAAGACACTTTGATATAGCCAGTACTTGCCATTTGGAAGACTTGTAGAAGAGATACTCAGATTAGACAGCCATAATTCCACTGACGACTTGCTAACTGAGAGCGAGACTCCTTCATAGTATTGAGCTGGAAATATAGCTATTTCCCAAAAGAACCTCAGTATAGCGCTGTGTTCTGTGACTGGAACCAGTGACACCAGGGCCAGTGAACAGGCCAGTAAACAGAGAAGTTTGAGTAGGAGTTCGGTGGGGAGTTTGCTCACCCACTTTCTTACTGTTACTTCATTATAAGCTTGCTGAATAGAAGCAGACAAAGGAGGAACAGGGAATTGCTCTAGGAAGTAGCAGGAAGGAACTAGCAGGAGAATTGATAGGATGACTAAAAGGTGTTTCAGTGCCAAATCCCTTGATTCTACCAGCTCTTCCTCTTCCTATATCTGTGGGCTTTGTCCAGGCATAGCCCCTGACCACTGAGTGTTCTGTCCAAGATATGGACTAGCCTTGCAAGGACTAGGGTCTGCACATCCTTGCCAGGGAAATTAAGGTAGTGGGAGTGCTTGGGCTGCACAAGGTGCTTTCTGCTGGATTCTCTCAGGAATCGGGTAAGAGAACTGCAAGAGGAGATAGATAATCTCAGAAGCATCTGCAAGCATGAGACCTTCATCAACTTGATGTACAGAGACCTCCAGCATCATGGAAGAAAGACAGTCAGAGAAGGCATTAGAAGACACAGAAGAAGCTTACTTAGGAAGGTGAAAGCTGATAGCTTGTCACCGATGGCAGTAGGCAGTATGCTTCTGAATCTGCGAGTGTCCAGATAAAAATAAGTATGAAGCTCTTGAATCATAGGAGAAGGACCTTACTTGTTTGGCAGGAGAGGCCAAGCCATGCACCCCTAGGGCTGGGAGGATTGAGATTACTACTGTCAAGAGGGAAGTGATAGGCAGTGGCAGTTGGCATCTCCCTTCTGAGGGGCATGGAGGTAATCATCAGCCAGCCTGACCTTTTGGCTTGGGAGGTTTGCTGCCTGCTGGAAGTCCACATCTGAGATGTCATGGAAAAGTTGCCAAGGCTCTCTGGCCCTCTGGCTTCTATCCCATCTGGCTTATCCATGCGGGCACTGAAGATACTGCCAGGAGCAATCTTGAGTAAATCAAAAACGACTACATGGCTGTGCTGGGTGTAAGAGTAAAGGGGGTTCAGGTGGTGTTCTCATTGATCCTTCCAATCAAAGGTAAAGGCCAGCTAGGAGCAGATGCATCCCAGAGATCAACGTGTGCCTATATGGATGGTGTTACCAGTGGGGTTTTGGCTGCTTTTGCCACAGATGGTGCCCCAAGAATAGGAACTACTAGGAAGGGACAGGATCTACCTGATGAAGAGAGAAAAAAGTGTCTTTGCTTATAGGCTTGCGTAGCTAGTGAGAAGGGCTTTAAACTAGGTTCACAGAGGGATGGAGACAAGTCTGGAGGTAACTTGGATAATAATGTGGTAAAGGGAAGTAGTAAGCAGAAGCTATAGCAGTGTCTCAAGAAAAAGATAAGATAATTTTAGCAGCACAGAAGGCAAGGAAGCAGGACCTTACCTGTTGAGTCAGCGTGAGGTGGCAGAGCAGCGGCGAAAAGCAGTGCCAGGAGAAACAGCAAGCACCAGGGAAACACCAGCGCCGGCATGGTTACGCTTTATAAACACATGCTGCTGACACTTAAAGGGCCAGAACCCCACATTGGGATTAAAAGGAGACCAACTCAGAGAGACGGGAGGACTGGAAGCAAAGTCCAAATGGTAGAAGGCAGCCAGCTGGCAACAAACCCACTAAGGTGGATTGGAAGAGCCAAATGACTTGCCCTCAGCATGGTCCTGGCCATTGGGGATGGAAGATTGGGACTTGACTTAGGACGCTAAACCTAGGAGAGAAGAGAGAAGAACTGTAAGTACAGTGGACTGAAGTGGCCCACAGCAGACAGTTACTACAGGTGGACCCTAAAATACAATGGGGTTTTTGCAAGGCTAGAGGACTGTAAGGAATGACTAAGTCCCAGAGTGATATTCTGAGTTCTGTATTGCTTTGTTTCATATACATTATTTACCTCAGAAGGCAGGATATGCAAGCATAGTCTGTGTGCTCATAACATCTTTTGGAGACCTTATGAGGTTGGCGTAAGGCAGGGTGTAGGGGAGTCAAAGCCCCAGAAGACAACACCAGGGCTGGCTAAGGACAGCACCTACGGAGAATAAGATCTCCTTCCAAAGTGCATAGAAGAGCAAGTTGTGGCAGGAAAGAGTGGTTGCCCTTACCCCAGTTCCCATTGTAACTGGAAGCAAGCCTTTCCACTTGCAAAAGAACCAAGACTGTAAAAGGCCCCATGGGCGCGTTAAGATGCGCCTCATGGGATAGGCACGGGCACTTCCACATTAATCAGTTAGATATCTAAGCTGTTAAAAACTAATGTGGGAAGTATGGGGTCTAAAAAGCAAGAATTGGAGGTCCTAGTTACAATTGAAGGAATTGTGTAAACTATCCTACCGTGTAAATGGGGTAACAGAGACATTGTGAGAAGATTATTGTCATGGATGGGTATAACTTTTTTCAGGAAGGATAGACAGGGAAAAAAAGAGGTGTTGTCCTATATATTAAGGAGATGTACATACATTCTGAGGTGCAATATGAAGTGGAAGGTTGACCTGTTGAAAGCATCTGGGTAAAATTCAGATGGGAGAGCAGTAGGGGGGGATGTCATGGTAGATGTCTGCTATATGCCACCAAACCAGGAGGAAGAGATGGAGGAGGCCTTCTTTAAAAAACTGATGGGTGCTTCTAAATTGAAGGACCTGATTTTATCATGGGGGACTTTTATTATCAGGATGCCTGCTGAGAGGGGAACACATCAGTGCATTGGCAGTCCAGCAAATTCTTGGAGTGTATTGAAGATAATTTTGATACAGGTTGTAGAGGCCAACTAGGGGAGAAGATCTTTTTAACTTGCTGCTCACAGACAGGGTTGAAACTGTGAAGGTGAAAAGTAACTTGGATGACAGTGAACATGAAATGATAGAATTCAAAATCCTAAGGGGAGGCAGGAAGGAGAGCAGCTAAATAAAGACCCTGGACTTCAGAGAAGCAGACCCTAGCATACCACAAGGAACTGATGGGAAGGATCCCCTGGGAGGCAAGTATGCGTGGGTGGGGGGAGTCCAGGAGAACTCGAGAATTTTAAGGAGGCCTTTTAAGGGTACAGGAGTAAGTTATCCTAATGCAAATAAGAATGGGAAGTACAAGAGGCTAGCCTAGCTAGACAGCACTCTCTTCAATGAATTAACTCAAAAAGGAATCCCACAAAAAGTAGTAACTTGGTCATTTTACTAGGGAAGAGTATGAGAGTCTCATAAGGGCATGCAGGGAAAAAAATTAGTAAAGCCAAGGCACAACTTAAGGTGTACCTGGCATGGGACATGAGGCCAAAAAATGGGATTCCACAAGCATATCAACAGTAAGAGGAAGACCAAAGAAACCATTGGTCCCTTGAGGAATGGAGAAGGCAATCAAGTTACAGATGATACATAAAAGGCTGAGGTATGTAATGCCTTTGTTTTTTAGCCTTCACAAATAGGGGCATCTACCAGATGACAAGAGCAATTGATAGCACAGATGAGGAAAGAGACAAAGAGCCTAGAGTAGTGGCAGAACAGGTTGGGGAAGCTAGGTAAGCTAGAAGCTTTCTAAGTTAGCAGAGTCAGATGGGATGCGCCCCATGGTACTGAAGGAATTGGCTGAGGGAATTTCTGAACCATTAGCTATCTTCTTTGAGAACTTGTGGAGATCAGGTGAAGTCCTGGGTGACTGAAAAAGGACAAATATAGTGCCTTTTCTTTTCCTTAAGAAAGAGAAGGAGGATCTAAGGAATTGCAGATTAGTAAGCCTGACAATACCTGAAAAGATCATGGAGCAGGAATCCACTGTGAAGCAGCTAGAGGTGAACAAGATGATCAGGAAGAGCCAGCATGAATTCACCAAGACCAAGTCATACCTGACCAACTTGATTTCCTTGCATGATAGATGACAGGCTCCTGCGGATGGGGGAGGAGCAGTGAATGTGATATACCTTGTCTTCAGCAAAGCTTTTGGCACCATCACCCACAACTTTCTCGTTATGAAATACAGTACTTTCTTCTGCTCTGTAAGTTTGGATCTTTGTGCTCAACAAATAGTCATCAGTGGTACGATGCCTGCTTGGGAGGCAGTATTGCTTGGGAACCCAGTATTGGGTTCTCCAAGGGCTGTCTGGTTCTGTTATTGTCTTAATATCTTCACAAGTGATTTGGATGATGGGATTACGTACGCGCTTAAATTTGTGGATGATCTAAGTTGTTTAGGGTTGCTGATGCTCTGGAGGGTAGGGCTAGGATCCAGAATGATCTGGATAGTCTGAAGAAATGTTCCATAAACAATCGGATGAAATTCAGCAAGGACAAGTTCAGAGTCCTGTACTTGGGAGAGAATAATTGCATGCACAAATACAAACTGTAGAATGTAGACATTCTTCCTCAGTCTTGCATTTGAAATCTTGTCTAACTTTATCCCAACTACATAGTTGGTTCAATAAAACATATCACCCTAAGCAGTCCTTGCCTCTTGCACAATTTCTGGATCATCAGAGCTACAGCATCGTTCTTTAAACTATTTCTACCTCTTTTAGACATTTAGGTTTGTATTGTTTAGGACTGCAGTCCATGTTTGTCAGTGAGCAACTTTCAGAATACTAAGATTTGCAAGAGAGAAATTCATAGTCAATATATCATGAGTTAGATTTGCTTTCTTGGAGCCCAGTCTTACAAATATTATTCATATAAGTAGTCTTTACATATGAATAGTCCCATTGATTCAGTGGAACTTTCCCCATAAATAACATTATTTGCCCCTTGAGAGATTTGTGTGTGGTGCTTGCATCTAAACCTACTTTCTTGACTCAAAAGATTAGTCAGATATCATACCAACCTGTTGGCAATTTTCATTTAATATAGTACTTCCAAACCAAATAAAGCATTTGAACTGCAGCAGGACACAATACTTTCACCATCTTCCTTTTCAGTGTAATGTTTCAACAGGTAAAAGTGAGTAATCCTTGTGTCTTACGCAGAGTTAGTTTTGCTGAGCTGTGAGGCAGTGCCTCAAATAGAGTGTCAGATAATATGATTGTTTCTTGCCTGACTGACTTTTTAAATTAAAAAAGATGAGGCAGTATTTTCAAACTTAATTGTTGAGAGCCCAGATTCCAGAAGACAGTTAGATTCCTAACTTCCCTTGAAGAGTATGCGTCATAGACCTGTTTAAAAGTCACTTTGTCTCAAGCTCCTAAGTGCCTTCTGAGAACTGAAACCATAAATCTGTGTCAGTCACTGGGTAAGAGAGAAACATAGATAAAATTGATAGTGCTGACAGGATCGAGGTCTCCCTTTTAATGAGAAAAGAGCCATTTCAAACTAAATACATTCCCTGGTATTTACATATCAGCAAGAGACTCTTCATCTTTGGATGATGTTGGATTTGACCTGACTTTTTTAATGCATTGCTTATTTTATCTATTTAATAATATTAAATGTAGTGTTGTACTTCAACATCTGTGCCTGATTAAATGTAGGGAGTTTCTGAATGGTCAGTGAGGGAAGGATTCAAGTGCCTCACGTGATGCACTTTATACCCAACCTGTTACTGAAAGCATGAGAGTGCTCCAGGGAGAAAACAAATATTTTATTTGCTTCCATTAGCCAAGTCCTGAGAGTTGTTTTTGTATCATTACAGGGTGAGAGAGAGCCCATCAAATCTTAAAAAAAATACTTGGAAAGAACCTTAAAATACTATAACTCTTACTGTGCTTACTGCATTACTTCTTCCATCTTCCCTGCAGTAGATGACTGATGAATCAATTTTGTGAAAGAAACACTGAACCAAATTTTCAAGTCATTACAGTTTTTACTTCTGTTTTTTTATTTATGTAATGACAAACAAACAATAGCTCTGAAATGGTTGTAGGCCAAAGGAAACTTGTTTCATCTAGAGCCCTGAACTGCTAGGTGCTGCATACCCATGCCCCAGTCCAGAACACCACTTAAATTTAAAACAAATGCTTGAGCTTGTAAGTGGTCCCAGTAGTTTTTATACAGGTTCAAATGCACTTCTCTGTCCCCCTCAAATGAGGGGAGAGGAAATGGAGAAAGAAGGGTAAACATGTTGTTTAAGAAGGAAAAGGGGAATGCAATTAACTGAGAGAATGGGGGATCAGAGAAAAGGAATGTTTGCATAACAAAATGCAGTCTCTAACTCTTTATGAGCAATTGCTAATTTCTTTGTCTTTAAGTATTACATTAAAGGGAATTAAATCAACTGTTGTTTCTTTGTCAGTGTATTATATTAATTTTCTGTGAAAAAACTGTTCTTCACAAAAGCAAGGCTCATTACACATGCATAATGGCCCCAGTTCTTTTTTATAAAATAGTTTAGCATTTTCCCTTGTGCTCCTTTTTCAGCAATATGCACCCCTGCTTGCTGTGTTCAGCACTCAAGGCCAGTCAGAACTCATTCTTCTCCAGAAGGTTCAGGAATACTGTTATGACAACATCCATTTCATGAAAGCCTTTCAGAAGATAGTGGTACTCTTTTACAAAGGTAAAAGTCCATATGCAGTTTAGCATGATGTACAATGAGTTTGCATCTTGTCTGAATTGGTGCATGTACAGAAGAACTGAATTATTTATATTTGGGTGGTTTACAGTCCACTTAATTTGTAGCTGGTGGCCAAATTAAGGATGAGCTGCTCTGCTGTTTGCTTGGTTTTTACTTCAAGGGCACTGCTCCATTCAGCTGCAGCTTATTAGTAGTCCCACACAGCTCATCAGAGAAGCAGTGCCCTTTAAAATAACCTGCAGCCAGTTGCTAGAGCATGTCAGAAGTCTCAGAAAGCTGTCTGCTTCACAACCCCTCAGTTTCACAATTTATTTCACAAACCCTCAAATATGTCACGGGGATTAGCAACTGATCTGAGTGGTATCCAGGTTCTGTTGTACTAAGATATTATTAAGTGTTATACCGCTAAATAATTGAACTACTAAAATTGCTTAGGCCTGCTTGAAATTCTGAGTAGGGAGCAGCCCTTTATATAGGATGAGTGTTCAGACTCCACCCCTGCATCCCACCTATTTAAATAGTGTGGTGGTCAGTGTCATCTCAGTATCAGAAAACAGTGTCTTTTACTTTTCATTGCCTGACAAGTGTTTTGCCATTTCCATTTAAGTAAATGGCTAAATTTGTCTCACTTTTAATGGAAGGAGGGTCAGAACACAGCTAAACATTTTCTGGTTTTTGGGCCCCTGGCACATGTTTTTTCTACCATAGTTATTGCGTTAATGGTGACATGCTGCTATTTATGGCACATTATTCATCAGATTTTTGTGCTATAAAATGGCAAACCAGCCACAAAGATATTACTCCGAAAGGGGGAGCATCTTTGTGGCTGGTTTTCTATGACACCATACGTTGAATGTGTGACATACTCTATCATCCTGAGGTTGATAGCTGATTGTCAGCATCGGGATCTGGGCACTTCTGCATCTGAAGCCTGGCTAAAAGCTGCCTGGGTCCTGATGGAGACAATTGCTGACTGTCTGAATCAGGATGCAGACTCACCTGAACCCAGCATCTTGAAAGGCTCTTTAAGGATGTCGGTCCCGGGTATGGGGCATCTCTGGGGTCTGGCATGCAGCCCTTCCTTGCCTTATCTTGAGGATTGGACAGGGGATGGAACCAGGACTAGGGCTTCCCAGTGCTGAATCCTGATGCTCAGCTGAGTGTCAGGAGACAGAACTGAGTAACCCTGGGCTCTGAGCCAAAGCTGCCCCCTGCCCAACTGGTGGGATCAAGCTGGAGGCAGCTTACAGGTTTTGAACCTGGCTGCCCTCTGCTCTGTTCATGGAGGATGCCAGGCACACAGCTATGAATGGGGGCGCTTCTCCCATCTTTAGCTGCATGTGCTGATTTAAAGAGGGATAGGAAAGCTCCCTCATCCCCAGCTGCTACCACCAGGTGGCTCTTTAAATGAGCAAGTAGATTAACAGGGGATGAGGGAGCTTTCCCATCCCTTGGTGTTTGTGTGGATGCCTGTCCATATGAACTCCCTGATCCCTAGCTGCTCTGTGGGGGAAACCATGAGGCTGATATCAGGGAGGCTCCCTAGTATTGTCCTTACCAGCACCCAGGGAGCTTCAAGTGGGCAGGTGCTCAGCTGCTGCCCACCTGCTTTTTTAAGGTCCAGGGCAGTGACTGATGTCAGGGAAAGGCTCCTTAATGTTTGGCTCACAGCACTCTGGACCTTTAGCAAGCGCAAGTGCAGTAGGGAGCTCCAGTTGCATGCTTGCTTCTTTTGCATTCCTGGGCACTCCTAGAACCCGTGCCTAGGGGTTAGGGACCCAGAGGCTGCCACTCCATGTGCACAGGTGGAGTGCAGCTGAGGAGGATGGAGCTTACCCCTCCCTAGCTGCAGGTGCTTCCTCTCTACCCCAAGCGCTGGCAGTTGTGCAATTGAGGTTTGAGGAATTCTATGCCCCATTGCCAGAATTGAGTGGCCTGCCACACACATGTGGTATAGCAGGTCATGCAGTTTGGGGAATGGTCCCCAATCATGCAACTACTGTAACATCTGCCAGTGGCCTTGGAGAGGCTGTTATTTTCAGAATTTCGTTTTTATGATATAGTTGGCCTGCTAGCAGGTTTTTTCAGATCAGGTTGTCATAGAAACTAAAAGACTTGCACTGTATGTGATGGGTGGGTGCCAAGCAGTTTGTTCTGATATTCTTACTATAAATAGTTGGGGGTGGGGGTGGAAAATAAATGTGAATAGGAACTCAGGATTGATTTTTCTCATTCATATTCTGCATGCGTGCATATTTTGGAAAACAAGCAAGTGAGGATTATAAGTGCTCCTTATCAGAGAACAGAAATAAGTGGACCAACAATATTTATCCCCATTTTTATGTTTGTAGAAGGTGGCTCCAATAATTCAAGGGGGAAATTAAATAAGTACTAGGAAATCTTAGGGCACTTTTACACGTGCTGCAGGGGAGGACACTTTAGAGTAGCTCTGAGAACTACTCTAATTGTAGTGCTGCAACGTCTTGTGCATCAGTGTCCCCATGCTTCAAAATGATGGTGGGGCACTTGAACTAAAGGTCGTCAAACAGGCTTTAGTTCAAGTACCCCCACTGCCATTTTGAAGTGCAGGGACACTGATGCATAAGACTCAGAGGCTGACTGGGGCATGGCAATTACCACACTCCAGCAGACTCAAATAATCAAGTCTGCTCCAATACTCTGTAATTACAGCACGTCAGAGCAGCCTCACAACACATCTACAGGCACCTGTTAAGACTAGAACAATTAAGAGAGAGTTTGACATGGAGGTATAGTTTTCTTTAGTACATCTTTTAATTCACACTGTGTATGCTGAATGAACACTACATATTCTGCATGCTGTTTTTATGCAAGTTAAATGCTGCAAATGTGAATAGCTTTACATAAGGTTCGTTTTCAACTTGTGTAAATCCATTACATGAACCTTGCCAAAATCTGAATCTGTGAGCAACAGAGTTAATGAGAATTTGGTACAATTGTTATTATAGTAACAATAATAATAATAACAATGTTATTATAAGAGTTTCCTGGGGAAACTCTTTGAGAAGATCATCAAGGAGCACATTTGTGAGGGGCCGGCATCAGAAATGATGCTCAGGGGCAATCAGCATGGATTTATTAGGGGGAGATCATGTCAGACCAACCTGATTGCCTTCTATGATCAGGTCACAAAGGCCATGGATGCAGGTGTCGCGGTGGATGTAGTCTTTCTGGACTTCAGCAAGGCCTTTGACACCGTCTCTCACCCCATCCTAGTTAAAAAACTAGGCGACTGTGGCATAGATGCCTACACAGTCAGATGGATTGCAGATTGGCTGAGGGGTCGCACTCAGAGGGTGGTGGTGGATGGGTCATACTCGACCTGGGGGGAGGTGGGTAGCGGAGTCCCCCAGGGCTCGGTCCTGGGGCCTGCGCTGTTCAATTTCTTCATCAGCGATCTGGATGATGGGGTGGAAAGTAACCTGTTTAAATTCGCTGATGACACCAAAATTTGGGGGGAGGTGAGCACGCTAGCAGGGAGGGAGAGATTGCAGAGGGATCTGGATAGGTTACAGGGGTGGGCTAACAGGAACAGGATGCGTTTCAATACGGACAAGTGCAGGGTGCTGCACTTGGGCAGTAGGAACCAGCAGCACACTTACACAATGGGGAACTCCCTACTTGAGAGCACGGAGGCAGAAAGAGATCTTGGAGTCATTATTGACTCCAAGATGAACATGGGCCGACAATGCGAGGTCATGGTTGGCAGGGCTAACCGGACCTTGTCGTGCATCCACAGGTGCATCTCGAGTAGAGCCAAGGAGGTGATCCTCCCCCTCTATGCGACGCTGGTCAGGCCACAGCTGGAGTATTGTGTCCAGTTCTGTGCGCCCCATTTCAAGAGGGATGTGGACAACATGGAGAGGGTCCAGAGGAGGGCCACCCGCATGATCCGGGGACAACAGGGCAGACCCTACAGTGAGAGACTGCGGGACCTGAACCTATTCAGCCTCCACAAGAGAAGGCTGAGGGGGGACCTGGTGACCGTCTATAAACTCACTAGGGGGGACCAGAAGGGTTTGGGGGAGACGCTGTTTCCCCTAGCGCCCGCTGGCATAACAAGGAGTAATGGGCACAAGTTGATGGAGAGGAGGTATAGATTGGACATCCGCAAAAACTACTTCACAGTTAGGGCGGCTAGGAGCTGGAACCAACTTCCAAGGGAAGTGGTGCTGGCCCCTACCCTGGGGGTCTTTAAGAAGAGGCTGGATGCCTACCTGGCTGGACTCGTTTGAGTCCCATTTCTCTTTTTGGGGTTTTTTGTTGTTCTCCCGCCCTGGCGGGGGGTCGGGCTAGAAGATCTACTAGGTCCCTTCCGACCCTTAATCTATGAATCTATGAATCTATAGCTAATGCACTGAATATACACTCCTTTAGAAAAGTAGTGTAAATTCATAAGAAATGAAACTTGCTTACAGGATACTAGTTTGGGTCCATTTCAAAATGTAAGTGGCCACAGCTGAGTACATTAACAATCATGCCGTTAAGTTTGTTTGGTTGGGAATAGACTCCAGGCTGGAGTAACAGGGACTTAATAGTGCCGAAGGCCTCATAAGGCCTTTAGGATTTGAAGTGCACATAAAAACCTCTACTTGCATGGGCCACACTCTGGCTTCCTGGAAGTGATTTAATTCTGTGGTGTTTTTTACCCACAGAATAGAGGGCCAAGGATAGATTCTATAAAGCCAGCCATGTGTCCTAGTTCATACTGGAGTCTGGTTCGAATATTTTATATCCTTTGGTCATTTCTTTTGTCTGGTCAGTGTATTGCTTATTTCTGTTTCGGTGGTTGGAGTAGCGTGTACATGATCTATTCTCAGAAATAAATTATTCCATCACAGTCTTGGAGGCTTAAGCCTGTTTATCGTATAGTTTCATTGGTGATAGGGTATGTCTGCTTATTGCTTAATAACTGGATGAATCCACTAGCCTTATCAGCTAAG